CGGACCAGCGGCTCCAACGGCTCCCAGGGTCCCTTGCGGCGGACCGCTGGGGCTGCGCAGGAGCGCGCGGGGCGGGGCCAACGGCCGAGCAGCGGGTCGGCGCGTCCGCGGCCGCTAGCTCTGCCAGCGGCGTGAGCGTGCGTTTTCACTGCTTTCTCGGTGTCGTAGTTCGCGGCTGCTGTTTGGGTGCGGGACCGGCCGGGCGGTTGCCGTCCTCCTGTACCTCGCGGGCTTTCCGCGGGGAGCTGCTGCTGCTCGGGATTCCTTCCCGCTCCCCGTCAGCGCTCCAGCCCGCGCCTGGCCCGGGGCTCGCGGGGTGTTTTCTCGGCCTGACGCTGTCTGACTCGTGGAATTGGTGAATACAGACCGGCGAGGGTGGGTGTCACAAGGTGTGTTGTGATGATGGGAGACCTGCCAGTGTCTGTAAGGATGGTTTATAGGGGGCGTGGGCAGGAATCGTGGGGTTCGGGTTTTGGCTGGTCGGCGGCACATGTGTGGGGGGGGGAGGGGGGAGGGGAGCGCAGAGCCGTCTGTGCACTGGTGGTGCAGAAGGCCTCAGCGTGCTGGAGTCCGGGGGTGACGGGTGTGGTGTGCGGAGCACCTGGCGCTCTGGGGCTTCTGGCGACTGTAGGTGTGGATGTGAACGGTCAGGGTTTGTCCGTGAAGATTTGTGGATAGAATTGATTGTCTAGGAAGTGAGGGTAGGAAGGCACGTGTGTGCCCGTTCATGCGTGCATTTGGGCTTGGAGTTGCATGTCCTAGTCGGCGTGCAGGTGGATTGTGTCACATACTGGTATGGAGGGGCGGGGCGCCGTGAAGCGGCTCCTTCTGTCTTGGGATAGTGGATGCTGCACATTTCTTCCCAGCTCTGCTCAGTGCTCCCCGTTCGGTCGCCAGAAGTGGGGCACGCTCGGAATATTTGTACCAAGTACACACCACAGGCGACGTCTTTCCGGACTACCCCTGAGAGCTGTTTCTTAAGCCTCTACCAGCAGAGCACTGGTGTGGGTGAAGCATGTACATGTGTGGAAGACTCCAGGTGAATTGTGAGCGGGACCCTGG